ATATAATATATGATATATAATATATAATATATAATATATAGTATATAATAATATATAACGTATTATTATATATTGTGTATTATATGTTATATATTGTATATTATGTATTATACATCATATAATATATATTATATATTACATGTTATATATTTTATATTATATATTATATATTATATATCATATATTACATATTATGTACTACATATTACGTGTCATTTATTATATAATATAATGTCCATAAAATACTGAATATTAAAAACACATGAAAAGGGTGAAGAGACAGGAAAAAAAAAGAAGAAAAACGGAGCAAGAAAAAAGCATACATCGTATAATGAATGATTTAAGATGAAGCAACCTTTTTGAGAGTTGGAAGGTGAGGGACAAAAAGTAGAGTATCTGCACTGTTTAAGCTGCCTGGAAGACTCTTAATTAAGCTTAAACACTCGTGCAATTAAGTAAAAGCCGTTGGAAAATCAGTATTTTAAGAACTGAAGACTTCCCCTTTGAAGTAATTAAAAAAAAAGAAAAAAAATGGTGAGCTCGCTGGTCCCATCTATTATGGCATCCTTATGGAAACGGAACCTAAAGAAATTACAGTTAAATCAGGCGAAATAAAATATAGAACGGCCAGTCTGACCAATAAAATTACGGTGTGCTATAAGGGGAATGACTACCAACCAAAAATGTTTTACATCTCACCAGCCATAACTCGAACTGTAACAGCACACAGAAGCAACTTAATTTGTAAAGCTGAGCAGCCTCATAGCTTACCCAAGACCGCCTCTGTTACAATGGAAGCTAAGTACCAGACAACCCGAGGAACAGACTTCCATTTCTCCGATTTGTGTGTATATGTATATATACATAAATCTGACTATAGTGACAACAGGTGACAAGGTTCAGTCTATATTAATTTTTAATATAAACGTCAAAACCAAAAGTTTTTGCTTTTGCCGTGGATCTCTTTGAACATGTTTGCCACATCGACATGTTCTTCTTTAGTTTTAATAGCTAATTCTCAATCTCACTTTCGTGACACTTCATCTCCCTCCTTCTATCAAAAGCCTCTTAAGGTCGTTTGCTTATTACAGTCGTGACGGGGGAGTCAAAAGAAACTACTCCTTTTAAAATTTATTATGAAAGTACCCAAGAAAAATAGAGCTAAATAGCTCCGTTTAAAAAAAATAAAAGAATGAATTCTTCACATGCGTGTCTGAGGAGATGCATAAACGCCACCTGCAACTTGCGCAAAACTGTCACTGGACTACACTACAAATCGTATCGACTGATCTACGAAGCTACACGTCAAACTGCTGAAGACAAACCAATTGCAAATAACTAGCGCCCCAGAAAAAAAAACCAAGGCGCAATAAATTTTTATATGCAAACTGTAATTTATAATGAAAAAAGTTCTTGGCCATTAGAACACCTTGAAAAGACTTCTAACTGGTCAAGTGAACTAAAATTCTTCCCCTGAAATAAATACCAACAAAAAAATCCTCCTATTTCTTTGTTGTCTTTGTTAAGCAGGCTCAAAAAGGTTTACTTAGCAAATACTTGAACGTAGCGTAAAATCAGCTGACTGAGCACCTTCCACAAGACAAACAATGCTGATCTACAATCAAAAAAAATCGCACATGGAAGGTTGAGCAGTAACATGGCAGCAAAATATACGTTCTATGGCAAAATACAAATCGTTGCAAAAACATCAATTCACTTCAAAAGTAATAAGGCGATCCCATTCGTAAAACTTTCAAGTATTTCGCGGCAGCAAATCCCAGTCGCTGTAGAAGACAATTAAGGCCACGAAGGAAACAATATCATTTCTCCAAAGGATGATAATTCAGCAACTTTTCAATAAGATCCACATGTGAAAGCAACATTCGACGGCAGCAGTAACGTCTCAGATTTAATGCATCAAGCGCGTCACCTTAATAAAACAAAAAGTTCGTCAACCACAAAGCAGCTGATAAATGTCTTGCAATAAAAAAACGAGCAACAAAAGAACAAATGTGAAACGCTTTTTTCCTTTACCCTCAGAATATTCAGCTTGTAAAAGTCCCAAATAAGCTTCCCACTTGTTACCAATTACTTTACCACAAGTAAAGCAGCGAATCGGTATAATCATTATTACCAAATCTAAAGATCACCAACTTTAAATAGAATAAGTGATTAAACGTGTCATTTAAAACGAAGTGACATTTTAAAATAAACAAGTCCTCAGAAAACAAATACATAAGAACTAGAAGTTCTGCATGTCCGTCTAGAACTTTACGCTAATGCACTATCTACAAACTTGTAAGACACCTACATTAGTCTTCGGTTCGTAGCCTACCTCTGTTGTGTCCAGAAAAGTGAAAATGAGTCACAACCAATAATTAAAATGCAAAATTTTCAGTTATGCTGCTTTAAAGACAAAAGGCGAGCAAATCCAACCATCAAAAGCTTTGGGTCCAGACACTCACTACACACTTACAAAACCACCAGTTCAAAAAGGTCAAAGCTTTGTTGATTGCTTCCCATCACTTAGAATGAAATCTGAAGCTTACCAAGTCGAGGGCAACTACTGGTAGGTTTACCAAAATCTAACTTCTTTTTTCGCAGGTACGAAACTAATCCCAACTGGAAACGAAAAACTTTTCCACATTAGCTTGACAAAAGAAAAACACATCTTCCAGCGCACTTAAACCGTTGATGTTGCAAATCGCAAAATAATAGATAAACCTTTTTCGAAAGAAAGTTGTTCGAATACACTATGTAGGGCCTTTCAAACCCTGATGATTTGAGACACTCTCGAAGAGAAAAATATCACCAAATCATGAAAATTATTTATTTATTCTCCGTTTTTTCAAACGAAAGTTACCTCACAGTCCAAAATACATCGCCATTAAACGGGGTATCTTATCATATAGTACTTAAAACAAGAGGAGAAATATATAACGAACGACTACTACAAATTATTCTGGTAAAAATACTTGTGAAAATGCATTCATGCGTACACGAAATCTTTATTTAACTAAAAAAATTATCACGGACGAGATTGTACCATCTCCCTTATATTCCTCTCTGATTCTGCCAAACTCTTTTCCAAATATTCTTTCTGACGTTCTATAGCAGCAATTTTATCTCTCGCTTTCAAAATCTGAAAGAAAATTATCAAAAAAATCTAATGCACAGCAGTTCCTAATAAAAATTACATTAAAAGATGCTGGCCTCTGCATCCTGATATGCAATTTCAGACTTTACATCCTCTAACACAAACATGCGACCAATTCCTCGATAAACAGGCCGACTTTCCTCTAAACCAAGTAACTGAGTCTTCGTAAGCTCCGCAACTCTCATTTTCTAAAAAGTTGAACAAAATGTTATCAAAACGTTAAAAATTTTCTTTGAGTAAGGCGAGCAGACTTAATAACACCTCAGCCATACTAAAACTGGAAATCAATTAACTATTGAGCATAAAGTGCAATAAAAACCCAAGAAAATATGTATTAATTACTGTTCTTCCGTCAAAGTATAGACAAAAGACGCCTGCCTCTAGAAATTACTAATTTTGATAAAATAAGTTGAACAGTTTACCTGATTTTGCATCTTCTTTACAGACTCGCCCATAGCCAGACGCTGCTTAGTCTCTATCATCTTTTGTTGAAGTTCTTGAAATGCCTAGTATAAGAACAATTAAAAAATCAACAGAACCCAGCAAAAATTAAAAAAAAAAAAAGCAAAATGCAAAACCCAACCTTTTTGAGCTGCGCCCCATACTCATCAGCAGACATCACATGTAATCTTTAGGACACAACAAATTTTCAGCTGCAGTCTGCGCACGTAACCCTCCAGTAAAGATGCAAAAGCAAACTAAAAACCACCTACTTAAAAGAATAAAAAGACAACCACATCCCATAAACGTAATAAAAAATAAACTCATGTCTTTCTAAAGCAATCATCACGTGAAGAGTTACAGCACTACTCAATAGCAGTACCCACCGGGACAACAGTATCACCATTTTTATTGTACATCACCAACTCAAAAAGAAAATACTATTTTGCTCAACTAAATCAAATTTTAACCATAATAAATTCTAAAACAAGTATTTACACATATTGTTCGGAATGTAACAACTGCTTACAACGTAGTAAAAAGCAATCAAATACAGAATGAAAGAAAAAAAAGCAATATGATAAAAGGGACCTGAGAAATGATGAATTGCAGGATAATTCTCGGCAAAGAAATCACCAATTATAAGGTTAAAAGACAAAAAATTCACACGTATGACCTTTACAAATAACTTCAACAACTGAATAAGACCAAGATGATATTTGAAGCAAAATTTTTTATTTGTTAGCACTCACACTGCTTTACAAAGGCACAAAGATCCAAATAGAGTTCAGGACTTTCCAATTCACAAATCTTAGTGAAACTTTTGTTATTCATTGCTTCCAGAATTGCACCAATCGTTTCACATCTAGGACTACAGACTCCCTAAAATACTATGCTTCAGAGTGAAAAATATGGTTGGAAATAAGTGGCATTGCTCGCGACGTAACACAAGTTTAACAGTAAACTGTGTAAAAAATTACTTCTTAAACGATACCTCTGGACTAATCTCTAAAGCCTTCTCCGGCCTCTTAACTTTCTCCTCGAAATCATTCTTTTCAGCAGTAGCCGGTTCACCACGTAAGTTGTCTTCGACGGTTTCAGCAAAACCATATTCCTCATCAGCACTCAGATCTAAACTGCGACTCAAAAATACCTTATGAGCCTCACTCCCCACAAGAACTGCAAAACATATAGGAGTTGGGACAAATGGTGCATTAGCGATTGGAGTACATGCAACGACCTGTAACTTGAAAAATTTTCAAATCAGCTAGAAAAGAAGTACAATCCTACATAGTTAAAAAAGACCATTATTTCAAATAACATCGGTAACACAAAGCTAGGCGTACTTCTAGTTTTCTACCAACAAGCACATTCTCATCAACCATCTCTGCAAAGTCTGTGGCATACGCGTAAGCTGTGCCCCTGTTTTTTGACAGTAACTTCAGCGAACACAAATTTTTCGCTACTACTTTCTCGTAAACTGCCTTAAATAAAAAAACAGTTGGCAACTACAAAGTAAAACTACTCCATGCAAAACTGAGAGTATACAAAAAACAAAGAAAATTCACTATGCAGTACGCTAAACAAAATTTTAAAATAATGGTGATCAAGTGATAAAGCCATTGATAAAGCAGTAGTAAAAACAGAAATTTTAAATACTAACTCTAAAAATTTTGACGCCTTCTTTTTCTTCATCTTCCACTTTGCCCACCACAAGACGCGCTTCCCAATCAGAAAAAAAATTTGCTGGCTCTGGATCCACCGAAACAACGCTAACCTTTTGCCAGCGAAGAATGTCTAGCGAAAAATTCTCGACCACTGAAAAATTTCTAAATAAACGAATCCATAAACTAAGATCACGTACCTGATAAAAAGAAATAAAAAAAACATCAAAAACCTCCAGAATACTTGAAAAAAATTTAAAAAAGCTTACCCTTCGGCGGGAAAAAAACTCGACCAAAAAGAGGGCTCAATCCAATTCCCCCACGACGAAGGATAAACCCAACATAAACTGGAGTCTGAAGCCTTACTTGTTCAACGCCAGCTTTTGTGACTTTTGTCGCACTAGGCAACAGCATCTTCGTTGGCTGTAACTCACTGACATCGCAAAACTGACAATGAGTGACATCTGCAGTCTAAAATGCAGCAACCAATTAGGATAATTCATCAAGCAAGAGAGCAAGACGAAATCGAAAAAAAGGTTCACTGGCTCATTCCGTCTACGCCACTGCATTAAACTTTGGCGACGAAATGAACAACCTAATAAAAAAAGATTCTTTAGAACTAAAAAA